AATACTCTGAAAAATTAGTTACAATGCCTGAGTCGGTCGTTCCCAGCCTTCCTAATGCTACGATCCTATAATACAGTTGTTCTTCATGTTGTGGCAACCCCCAACCATAAAATTTTTCTTTGCTACTTCATAACTGTAATTTTGCTGCTGTTGTGAATTACAATGTAAATATTTGATATGTAGGATATCTGATATGTACTCCCAAAAGGGTGTGACCCACAGATTGAGAAACATTGGTCTAAATGAACAGTCCCCCTGCAAATACTTAATGTTCTAGAGTGCCAAAAGGCATCTGAACAAGTTTTGACTTTGTTTAAAATCAACAGATTTACTAATTAAAGTTAAACTAAGTTCAAATGTATCAGATAATTAGGTTTATATATCATATAGTCTTTAGCTAGTAATCTAGAGTGCAGCTAATATCCTAAGTTTGGGGATTTAAATTTCTATGTGTTCCGGGCTCTATGTTATTGTAATTACTCTCAATGAAGTTTTAATAAATGCACCAAAGCAAGTAGCAGATCAAAGCATAAGACAAAAACATCTTGACAAGAGATTAAAGTATATTAGTAAATTCTGATGCCTTTGTTATATTTCAGTTAGTAACTTTGAGCCATAATTACTTAAAGAATGAGAAAACATTCTTAGATTATTTTTTAACATTTCTTTCAGAAACATTTTTCTCTTTTAGCTCTTCTTATGTAAATTTTCTCTGTATTTATAGCAACCTTTATATGATTGTGTGTATTTAAAATGATGGAATATATTTCTTTATTATGGTTGACCTTCTAAAGAACTCTTGCTGCCTGTGGTCTTTAGAGTCAAGCTTACCCAGAGCACAGGCCACAGACAGGGCCTGTCCTTGGGAAATACTTAAAAGAGGTGCAATTATTTTTCTACGTATTCCTGTGTTTTAACCTTCCTCATATTCAGAGTTTCCCTCCCCTTCCCTATTCCTTTCCCCCTTTCTATATTCAGGATTCTAGAAATGGCTTGGCAAAATATTTTTTTTTTTGCTATGTCTCCAAATTTGAGTTGAGAGTTTTAGTTCATATAATGAAAGGATTTAAATGAAGAAAGAGGAACAAGCAAAGGTTCAGAAGGCCTTAGATATAGCCTGGAACTTAGCATGAAGTTTATCTTTCACCGCAAAGTCTTGAAAGGCAGAAACAGGAAACCCAATTTCTAATCCCAGATCATTTAAAACAGCGGTTCTCAACCTTCCTAATGTTGCAACCCTTTAACACAGTTCCTTCCTAATGCTGCAGTGACCCCAACCATAAAATTATTTCCATTACTACTTCATAACTGTAATCTTGCTACTGTTGTGAATCATAATGTAAAAATGTGATATGCAGAATATCTGATATATGTGATCCCCCTAAGGGGTCGTGACCCACAAGTTGAGAACCACCGATTTAAAAGCACATCATGCCCTGGAATTCTAAATATTATTCTTAGAAAGGCACAGAGAAGTTAATGGTTTGAGAGTTAAAAACCAGGAATTGTGAGCTGTGGACAAATGAGAGTGGTGGTAGAGAATTTGATGACATATTTAAGGACCTTGGTTCAATCACCACCACTGAAAAACAAAACAAAACAAACCTGTGACTTGGGTTTACTAATACTCTTCTAAGTATTACTAGCGTGCCCAAAGTATCTGCTAAGATTATAGCTATAGGAGACTTAGCTATCTGTATCTTTATAGCACTTGGGTCCCAGAAAACCCTAGTAAAGCCTCACAGAGGCCCTCCAGTAGAAACCATACCACACTGTCCTTTGCAGTTTAGTTCTTGACCTTTGGTGTAGTGGGTGACAAGAACAACTCAGCATTGCTTCTTCTTCCTTTCAATGTTTTGGGGGACTGTTTACTCAAGGGCCATGATATTGCACTTGTAATGGCCAAGCTTTTGACTGTTTTTCAGGGTCTTTGTATTGGCTGTGACTTTCATCCAGGATCACACATTTTCCTAAGTGTGTGATGGCTGTCCATTTCAGACACTGTGGAGTTAGTAATGATCACAGTGCCATGACCTTCATCTTTGTATCCATAAAACTCACTCATGTTCTAGTGGGTACATTCAAAACTTATGACCCTTTTGACATTACCCAAAATTATTTTTTAAGTCTACTCAATTAAATATATGTGTCAAGGCTGGCCATTTCTTCTTATTAATTTATATGTTGGAACCTTTCATTTCCTTGACAAAATACTAGGCTATAGACTGACCATGAGGGGCTGAAAGGGAGTAGGAATGGATGAAGATTCTCAGTGTCTCTAAGATAGTGGAAAACGTCCAGGACTCTCACCTGAGTTTTTTCAGACGTCATAGGCACTCTTGCAGAGCCAACCTGAGGCTTGCCCTAAGGAAAGGAAGTTCAGTTGTGACATTGATCAAATTCAGGCACTTCATAAATTTATCTCATATAGAGAAGCTAACAAACATTTTAATGGCTCCAAAATTCAGATTTCTTTACTGTTCATCTTTCTTTCCAGTGTCTCGTCCCAAAATTAAGTTTATTACAGCAAAAAATAGTCAATTGAATAAGTTAGCAAAAAATTAATGACCACAGGTTTTAGCAGGATATAGGAAATAGCAATACATTGTGACTGGAAGTCCAGGGGCAAACACAAAGTTTGTCAGTAACATACTTTTATCTTCCCGACTGCATTACTGCAGTTCCTCTGGTTAAAAACACTTTTTTTTCTTTTTTTTTTTTTTTTTTGGTTTTTTTTTTTTTTTTTTTTTTTTTTGGTTTTTCTGAGACAGGGTTTCTCTGTTGTTTTGGAGTCTGTCCTGGAACTTGCTCTGTAGATCAGGCTGGCCTCGAACACACAGATCCACCTGCCTCTGCCTCCCGAGTACTGAGATTAAAGGCGTGCATTACCACCGCCCGACTGGCTAAAACTATTCTTATCATTGGCTTTGGATCTATGTTCACCTACTTGGGGAGATGGAGAGGAACATGGAGACTTTTCAACTTAAAGATCCTATCTGATCTGGAGTATGAGTGACTGGCTCTTAGCTACATGATGGTAGCCCAAGGAAAGGGCAGAAGCAGCAGCTTGAATACCTCCCTACTACCTTATTCTGTACTAGATACGGTCTTTCAGATGCGTCTCACTTGGTGTGAATGTGCTGACTCCCCATCAGGCTCCTGAAACACAGTGGTGGTGTGGACTTAGAATTTCTTGGTAGCTGTTTGATTCCCTTTACATAACCATTGCTCCTTGCCTAATTTGGCCTTTCACGTTTCTCTTAGTACTTCAACAGTTTCTTGATCCTGCAACCTTGTTACCCACCATCATTTTATTTCTTGAGGCATGTCCCTCCAAAAAGAAAAAAAAAAATCAGGGACTAAGTGCCAGGAAACTCTTTTCTATCCTCAACCCATCCATCTAGCAGTGAGCACTAGGCATTTGGGCATATTTCCTTAGCATTTCATATTTACTCATTCTTCAAACATTAATAATAATTATCTGTTCACCATGTGCTTCCATATCACAGTGTGGCATTTTCACAATAGTGGCAATCATTTAGACTTGTGAGAAAGACAGCCAGGTAAACTGAGGTGTCTCATAACAGCAGGAGTGTGGGGGGAGCAGGTGTTGCACAGTTATTAGATGATGCTCATTTGTACCACTTGGAAAGGGTTCAAGAGAACAAAATTTAAAACAATGGTGGGAAATGTAGTTGTTTTGTAAAGTCATTCTAATTTCCACAAATAACTGGAGAGCGTATTGTTTGCTTTACCCAGCCAGGCAAGTGCTCTGCAGTAATGTAGAAAACTATGGGGAATTCAGTGCATCTTCAGAAAGTACCCAAAGTACAAATATTTAAGGCCGTCATTTAAAAGTTTTTAAATTTTACAAAGCATTCAATATTGATATCCTTCACAAGCACATAAAAATAAAACCCACATAAAAAGTTAAATTTGTCTTTTAATATATTTATGAGACTGTGACCTTGGTCGAAAGAGGGCAAATCAGGACAAAATTGATGAACTGTTTGATGAACTATAAAGGAGAACTTCTCCCACCGTAGGTTGGAAACATGTTCAAAGCCTTGTTCTATAGTCTTAGCAATTAGTCACTGTGAAGGCTACGGTCTCCACAGTCGGTCCTTAGTGTCTCCTCTCCAGTTTCTAGCTCCGTCCTCCAATGGATGAGGGATGGTTATCCCTGCTAGAACCACTACTGTGAGAGTCTCTCAAAGATGAAAAATGATCATTTTAGATCTCCTGCTACTAACAGTGTAGCTCGTACAGCAAGGGTACATGACTGACCCTATTGTTTACATGGCTCTAGCCTTTATATGATTACTATTTTTGTACACATATACACATATGAAAGATTTATAGAAAGTCAACACCCCAGTGGTTCTCCTACATAGAATCACGGTTGGCATGCACCGGGTCTTCTCACAGCTCATGAAGATCTCGGCTGAGGAAATGTATTTATACTGTGGGGTTTTCCATAGGACTGCAGGATATTTGACAGCATTGTCAAATGCCTCAGATGACTGACTCTTTCAGACATTTGCTGTGCCTCCCAAATGCCTGGGCAAGTTGTAAATGGAAGGCTTCAGTTGCAAAGAAAGTTTGGTATCTTTCTGTTCTCTTCATCAGCCTGTGTGCCTTGCAAAGTTCTTCTCTCTATTTACTGGCTTTAAGATTTAATCAAGCTGAAAAACAAGAGTGAGAAAGAAGACGGAGGAAATAAGAAGAAAAGAAGTGTGTAAATGTTCCCTCTCGCAAATGAGATACTAAGCACTCCGCTGTGTACAGTCCAGAAAATAGTGGGGTTTGTGATGGCTTTGTAGCCCTTCCTTGGAGTCTCTCATGGACAATCAAGGACTCTAGGTCATTAATCATGAAGGGTATCTGGCCCATGCATAGTTCTAGGGCAGGTTTTAATCTAAGGCAAGACCTGCTGGAAATGACTGGTCCCGCTTTTCAGTATCCCATGCTGACCACCGTTCCCATGTTTGTGTTCCTAGGACCTCGATGCAGTCTCAGTCTTCCTACGGTAACAGCTCCCCACCTCTGAGCAAAATGAACAGCATGAACAAGCTTCCTTCTGTGAGCCAGCTCATCAACCCACAGCAACGCAATGCCCTCACCCCCACCACCATGCCTGAGGGCATGGGAGCCAACAGTAAGCATCTCTCTCTTCAGCTGCCAAAGGATGCACAGGGCTAGTACAGGAGAAGAACGCTTTAAGGTGGCACAAATGTTCTTCTCTAAGCTAAGTGCCGCAGAGGCAGAGGCCACCACAGTTGACTGACTTGGCTTTCCCAGTTAGCTTCTCATTCTTGAGGTATGGGTTTTATAGCAAAACACCGTCATAGAGATAGACGTAAGGGTGAGAGTCTTCCCTCAGTAGGGATAAAGATCTCACTGAGACAGCCCAGATGGAGGCCCTCCACTGACCATCTCTGACACTGTTTATAAGAAGTGTATCTGACAAGAGGGAAGAAGTATGGAGCGCTAGACTAAAAGCATAAAAATTATTGATTCCCCTCCGATTCATGCAGAATTAGATGTGCAGCGGCAAACAAGTTAGTTCTTTGCTCTCCTGCTCCGCCTCTACCACAATCCCTCTGCACATTTAGCATTTTATGAATCTTTGGCTTTATAGTCTGACTTCATTCCATATGCAGTAAGCAGGGAATCAATCCATACGGAGGCTTCCCGTTTACTTCTGTACACATACGAATTCCTCATAGTAACTCACTGGAGATATAAAAGGCAGTGCAAAAACTGGATCTAAATAAGTAGATGCTAATTGGCACATAGCTTTTCGAGAAATAGATTTGCTTTGTCTATTATAAGTAAGCCAGACAAAGGGGATGCAGAGATTTGAATGAAATGAATAATAGTAAAAATGCAGAAGGGTAATAATATCTTCACACACAGAGAGAAGGGAACACTGCATGGTTCCTAAAATTCCCATTCAATGAAAAGATAAGATCCTATTATCTGGTCCTTTAAAGTCCCTAATTATTGTGACCAAATCCTTGATTTCTTTTTCTTTGGAAATCCTAGCCTATCCGAAAGAAGCTAAGAGAGCCTTCAGATTGTCTGTGGTCTGGCAGCTTGTGTTGATTTCTCATTGAGAAAATCTGCCAACAGGGACTTTGCAATAGGCTGCCTCTCTCATCCTGATAATGCACCCCGAGGTCCCAAACCCGACTACAAAGGGAAGCCATTCAACTTTATTTTCTTTCTTGTAACAGTAATTAAAATATCTCCACTTGCTCTAGCGACAAGATAGTGGTAGCAGTAACACTTGACATTTACACAACTTTCCACAGATTACATTATATTTATAGTACACAGTCCTCTGCTGCACTCAGAGACGTCTGAAGGGAAGTAGATGGAGAAGTCTCAGAAGTGTACTTTGCAGCTGGCTACATCACACAGGGGTCTTTCCCCTGAGCCATACTTCTAGTTAGTAAAGAAGATACAAATTATATTCTTATTTTCTAGATATATTATTTTTTTCCAGAAAACAAAATTTGTTGCATAAATTTTATTAGTACTAAACCTTTTGGGGGTGGGCGTGTAAGTGAATACTTGAAGCTCATGGTTTTACAAAACGCCCAAAGTATTGGTGATATTGGTGAATTCAAGTGGATTATATAACAGAGTTAGAATCTGGGATTTTTTTCTTACTAGGCATAAGGTTCCCAAACCAATACCATAGCAAGTCCTGTTTCCACACAGATCTTAATGATTCTTGTTTGCTCACATCCCTCTCAGGACAAGCTTTTGGGCATCTCACGGTGCCAGGAAGTCTGCTATGTCTGTGGGGCTAGAAACACTGATGAGAGCTAATCTCTCTGCTACAGGAGATGAGTTTATCTTATGAGGGCATAAGAGAAACTGAATGATAGCCCATTCTCTCCAGAAGAAGGAGGAACGCATCCGCTTAGGAGAAAAGAACAAGAGTGAGAGAGCCCTAAGGGAACAAAGGTCCAGGAGTCTGTGATTGCTTTGGAGTTCTGGTTCTGTTCTGCTTGACTAGGCGTGGAGTGTGTGAAGGGATATAGAGAAATTAGGTCACCCTTCCCTGCAGTAAGAAAAACCAAACCCACAGCTTTCTGGTAAAACTCAACAAGGCCAGGTAGACCCCTGGGATGCTGGGGAACGATCATCTAGTAATCCTCTCTATTCCTCCTGCTTCTGTCCAGTTCCTATGATGGGCACTCACATGCCAATGGCTGGAGACATGAATGGACTCAGCCCCACCCAAGCCCTCCCTCCCCCACTCTCCATGCCATCCACCTCCCACTGCACTCCCCCACCTCCGTACCCCACAGATTGCAGCATTGTCAGGTGAGTGCACGCACGCACGGCACGTGCTCCTGGGGCCCGGCCCTAGGCGTCTGAAGGGGGAGGGTAGACACTGGCAAGGCTGGTCACACGGTTGAGAAGAAAGGACGCTGTCCTGGGATTTGAGGAAGTTGAGTCTGATTGGTAGGGTGGCCAGCATAGCTCTATCGAGAAGGCCTATAGCCAGTGTGGGGCAAGTGAAAATGTGTGTATGTGCACACAGGTTTCAGACCTGTTGCGTGGTCTTCATTTACTCCCTTCTCCCTCCTCGTACTACAGGTTAGTTGCGGCCCATGAATTGGTGCTCAGGGCTGGGTTTCCCCAGAGGGACATAAACTGGCTCTCCTACTCCCTTTCTTGCTCTCTAGGCCTCACAGCTCTTAGTCACCACGGGACCATAATTTTGGAGTTGGATGTCTATAACATATTAGCAAAACTCTGAAATTTGAAGAACCCCTGCCACTCCCCTGAGAAATGGGGACACTCCAGGGAAGCAGGTTTCCTATGGCCAGAAGCTAACAAAGCCTTAAAGACACTTCTCACAGAGGCACATGCAGCTCCATGGTCCATGCTTCGGGCGTGTCCTCTGCTTCTGGGCAAGCATGCTTTGTTCCTTTGGTCGAGCATGTTTCGTCCATGTGCAATGTTAGCCACAAAGGTGATGCAGTACCTGGCTTAGCTCAGCAGAAATCAATTCTGGGATGAGAGTGACATCACCAGTCTCAGGCTAGAACCTCAAACAGAAATATCTGTGTGTTAAGGATATAGATCAACATGTATTGATATTTCGGAGTACTAGCCTGCAATATTTCAACTGTCTAAAACGTTCTAAGAAACCCCCAAACACAAAATAGTAAATGTAGTGATTCTCAATTTGATGTGACGAGACAGGAGGCAAGAGGACTGGGGACCTGACCACTGGACCCTTCACCTGTACCATGACTCCTCCTGCTTTTGTTCAAAAGGATACCTCAGATTGCCAACTGAAAAACCATCACATTCTAGAATGCTTATGCTCAATTTCTGTGGTCAGTTTACCTAAAGTTTGAGTTTCTAGCAATCCTCAAATCTCAAATCCAAGGCCCACACATACTTCATTTGCCCCCAGACTCTTATGCAGGGCATCCAAGGGCAAAATAATGGGTTTTCCTTTATCTCGCCAATGCAGTTGGGGTGAACTTTCTTTTTCTGTTTCCTCCTTCCTTTTCCCTCCTCCCTCTGCAGTTTCTTAGCAAGGTTGGGCTGTTCATCATGTCTGGACTATTTCACGACCCAGGGGCTGACCACCATCTATCAGATTGAGCATTACTCCATGGATGTAAGTAACTGTTAGACTTTTCTCTTTAGAAAAATTTCTTCATTTTTCTCCCTCTGGTCCATACGCCTTATAGTTCCATCCACGCTAGTTTTAGACTTTGTGTTGGTCATGCTTCTAATCCTCAATTCTGATGGAGCCATAACTCTGTCAGAAAGATTTTCCAGGTTAGAAGCTAAGCAATCAATAAACCTGATCATTAAGCTATGGCTTAGTGTGCCCATGTGTATACAAATGAGAAAGAAAATATAGAATTTGTGCAATCAAGAAACTTTAGTCTCAAGACAGGTGGCTGAAAACCAAGCACTTGGGAGGCTGAAACAGGAGGATTGCTTCAGCTCAGAAGTTTGAAACCTGCTTGGGCAACATAGTGAGGCTTACTCAGAGACTGGTTGCAATGTTCTCATTAGTCTATTTAAATCACCAGGCAGGAGAACAGGAAGGACATACAGAGAAATGACAAAAGTGTCATTGGCCATAGTGAGTTTATAGTGGAACCACCAAGAGAAGCCTGGCTGTAAATCTCTAGCCTGTGACCCTGTTCACTGGCTGTGTCCACCTTTTCTTAATGCAGAGCTTTAAGGATGAGTCAGCTGTAACTTTCAATACTGTAAGACCCTCTATTCACTTGAAATGCTGCCAGCCCAGCTCACTGCCCCTATGGTCAGGAATGCTTACTGGCCATAAGTCTGCATCCTGGGCAGGACTTTTAGTAGCAGTGAAATTTGAGGCTGTCACTGCCTCTCGGGGCCTCAATTAATCCAACTGGGTTACAAATCCCTCCCCTCTGGCTTGGAAAGTCTTTGAAACAAACTGCATGCGATGGAACTTTCTCAGGCTTTCCACTCCATTTCTTAAACTTTTGCATACATGGGAGCTTCTTTGTTTGCATTTCAGCAACCTGGTTCTCCGCCTCCTTCCTTGGCTGCTCTTTCTAGCACTCTCTGTGGCATGTGCTGTCCTCTGTTCTAGCTTCCAGATGGCACTTTGGACTGATGGGAGGAGATTGTCTCTGCCTCTGCTGCTGTTTGTGTAGTGGGGACTCCTTCCCCTCCTTGAGCACCGATGCTAGAGATGCCCCTGCAGCATGACAATGTCCCAGCCCCATAGATCTCAGTGTGTACCACGCTTTCTTATGCCCATCCTTCCCAACTCTAAATGTTACTCCTGGTGCTTCCTTGATAGAGCCTACCATAGGTAGAAACTATAGAGAATGCTTCAGGAGTAAGTTCTGACAGACTTAGACTACTTGAAAATCACGTTTCTCCACGGATGAAAGCAGTGTGGCCCTGTGTTTGAGAAATACCCATAGTGGAGTCCTATGTGGTAGAACAGAAAGTCAGCTGTTTCCCTGTGTCCTTACAAAATACTCACTTGTAGACTTGCCCCCTCTGGGGAGTGCCAGGATTCTCCTGTAGCCGTTAAGGTTCAGAGGCGATTCCCACAAGTCTGCCTCTGTTGATGTTGCCTTGTAGTGGTGCTGAGGTTACACAGGATCTTGGGCTCATTCGGAGTCTCAGAGGTATAAAGAATGCAAGAAGTCATCTAGCATGCTTACTTAGTCTGTTAGTGGATCATTGTCTTCTTACTATGCATTCTTCTGCTATAGAAGAAGTTAGGGTCACTGTGATGTTCTGAAACACAAATAATGGGACAATATGACAGCATGGTGCAGGTTTCTGAGTTGGGCCATTTTGGAAAACGAATCAGTTTTCTCATCTTCCCCTCAGCATCATTTTGTGCACTTCTGGAAACAGACACCTCTTGTGTCTCTGCAGCAGTCTGCTATTTTTGTGTCCCTTTCTGCTTGAGGATTTTGAATACATTGAATATCTTCAGATGCAAAGCTGAGCTCATAATGCAAATGAGAACAGTATAGTATGTGTTTTGGAGTTTCGAGAATGTCATACCCACCCTCACCTATGAGCCCATAGTATCTAGAATGCAAAGCCACAATTGTCTCCAATGCATCCAAGTGGGGAACTAAGAACAGATGACATCTGCTAAGCTGCTTTCTGCCCACCTTGCTGCTTCATTGAGCTGAAGCATATTAAACAAGCTAATGCCAACCAATGCAAGGCATGCAACATGCCTACTTAAGACTAACCCTGCTGGAAAGGCCGCTTGTCCCTCCCATAGTGCATAGACACAAGTGCTGTGCATTTCGATGCTCTTTATCCACACACCCTAAGACCGTTCGGTCCATAGGATAATTGCAGTTATTCATAAGTTCACAATTTATTTACCTTGTAATAAAATTTTAAGGCTTGTTAACCTAATCTTCTGTTATTCTCTCCATAAAAATGGGTATAAAAATATCCAGCACTAATTTCAAGATTAAATAGGATTGTGAAGATAAGCTAAATAGTTTAGTTCTTAGGAAACTCTCAATCCCTACAAAAAATCTGTCCTCGTCCCCTCTTCCCCCACTGTTAGGGACACTCCATAACACCTTTCTCCTGGTGGCTAAAGCCCCACAGATTTTAAGAATCTTACATTTCTTGTTGAGATTTTTGCCCTCTTATTTAACTACTGTCTACACTATTTTGCACAGAGAGAAACTAAGGCAAATAAAGAATGAGTGAATTGGTGTCCGCAGCACACTTGTCCCACCTGAGTCCTATTTTCGTTCTCAGTAACATAACATCTGGAAGTCGGTCAGAAAGCTTTATCTGCCAAATTAGTGATAATAAACTCAGATCATTTTAAGCCCAAACACCAAAGAATGAAAAACAGCATGTAATAAAGGATTAGGTGTCTGCCCTCTAATGTCTGGGCTCCTCCCTGTCGCACAGGATTTGGCAAGTCTAAAGATCCCTGAGCAGTTCCGGCATGCCATCTGGAAGGGTATCCTGGACCACAGGCAGCTGCACGACTTCTCTTCACCCCCGCATCTCCTGAGGACCCCAAGCGGTGCTTCTACAGTCAGTGTGGGCTCCAGCGAGACCCGTGGTGAGCGCGTGATTGATGCCGTGCGTTTTACTCTCCGCCAGACCATCTCTTTCCCACCCCGCGACGAGTGGAATGACTTCAACTTCGACATGGATTCCCGTCGCAACAAACAGCAGCGCATCAAAGAGGAAGGGGAATGAGCGCCCACTGCAGGGCTTTTCTTGTCTTTTTCCACCTCCCAGCCCCTACAGGGCACACTTGCTTGATCTTCAAAGCATTCTTGCTAGCGCTTCTCCTTTTCCTTCTCAGTCTGGTTTCTAAAGGGACAGAGAAGTAAGAGGCTGCCTGTTGCCGAAAGTCTGACCTGTCACCTAATTCTGATTCTGGCTTTAAGCCTTCAAAACTCTTGCTTGCAGGATGCGTTGTCCTTGCTAGATAGAAGTTAGCAAAGAAAGCAGCGGGTCTCTTTAAGCAGCAGAGAACTCTCATTGACTTTTATAAAGCATTTTCAGCCTTATAGTCTAAGACTATATATATATATAAATATATATAAATATATAAATATACAATATATATTTTGGGTGGGGGTATTGAGTATTGTTTAAATGTAATTTAACGGAAAATGAGTTGCACTTATCAGCCTTTGAAATTTGCTTGTTTGGATGATTGATTTGTCCCCCTTTGTCAGGGGTATCATGTATGGTGGCAGATACGTAGAGTTGAGTGGTCGATGTGAATAACAGTGATGTATAGGTCCTCTCAGTTCTTTGGATGTTGAGCATTGAGCACACCAAACCTGTGGATGCATCCAGTGTGTTTACCATTGCTTACTATGAGGTAAAGCTGTATATATGTACACAGTTTCTCTTTCAGTATATTTCATGTTACCGGTGTCCATTCCAGTCGGACTGGTTCACTCGGTGGCTATTACAAGCAAAATTTCATGTTTGCTTTTTGTCACACACCATAGGAAAGGAAAACCTCTCTTGCTTTTGTTTGAGAATGAAGAAAGCATTTTCTTTTTTTCTTCTGGAAATCTTTATATGGTCCAAATCAGCTATTCCAAACATTTAATGGGACATAGCCAAGTATACAGTGGCCCCTTGACATTTAAGGCCCAACAGTTTAGTATTTAACAGGGAAATATTTACTGCCATTAGTATAGCCTTAAAACTAAATTTCACTACTGGATTGACCAAGTAAAATACATATTCACCGCTTTCGTAAGAATTTAGGCCAGTTAGTCAGGATGAGTGGAATTTGTCTGGTTTTTACAGGGAGTTGTGATATCTATTAGGAATATTCTGGAAAAACAAGCCTGACTCAAATTCTGAATCTCCACTATAAAGAGAGATGTCCCATCCAACTGTGAAGTTAAGTTCCTCTTGAAGCATGGAGTGATGCTTGGGAAACAGACCTTTAAAAGCCTTTCCTGTCCACAAGACACTGCATGCAGAGGCTGAGGTCTGGAATGATAGCAGGGGTTGACACCTAGAAACTGAGGAGTGCAGTGTTCACATGGCAGGAGCTGCACTTCCATTGCTCTCCTCTTGATCCTCAAAGCAGGCGTCAAGATCCAGTTTTCCACCCAGCCCATTCCAGGCTGTGTAGACATAGAAATGTCCACAAGTCAAGGAAAACACTTTCCACTGAAGCCTTTTAAACCACTTCACAAAGACGCTTGTCTTACACTTTATGTCGGAATGCAGCAGTCAGTGTTCCTCCTAGACGTTTTGGAAGCATTTTGGCACAGATATATATCTCTTCCCAATGGAAAGCATGTGTTGTGTATATGTTAATGAGCTCCACAGTCCTGCCATGTACTTTGATAAAAGGCTGTCGTTCATTGCACATGACATCCCATTGGTATTTGAAAATGCAAATGGGCGAATGTGCCTCTGAAATGTAATGTATGGCCTTGACCAGAAAATCTTACGTTGTGTATGTGCGTGTGTGAAATTGCATACTGTGCTGTTTTGTTTGTTTGGGTTTTTTCTTTGGGGATGGTTAGGTTTTCCAGAACCACAGCTGAAACTTTTTTTGTTGTTGTTGATATATATACATATATATACATACAAATATGTATATGTATATATATCAGAAACACCATTTAGTGAGAATATGATGTCAAATAAGACATGATGCCTTAATTGTAAGAAGGGGGGACGGGAAATTTGTTTTTTAATTTTTTAAAATTTTGTACGTTAAAGAGAATGAGTCCTTAATTTCAACGTTTTGTTATGTTTAAATGATGAGAAACATTATTAATTTCTGTAACAAGTTCACGGCTTTGCAAATTCCCTTAGTTGGAGAATGAAGCTGTGTCTTGGCCAGGTCAGGAAGACAATGACTTCCTGGATGTTGTGAGTATTGGGGCTGTTTTAGCACTGTCAAGGTGGCACTGGGGACTCTGAGGCATTTCAGCACTATTTAGGTGGCACTAGGGACTCAAAGTTTCTGTACTGTACCCTATGATTTTGGCATTCGTCATGAGCCACAGTTAGGCACAGTTGCTCTCCTCGCACCACTGTTAAAAGGGCGTGAGCAGTCAGGGATGCCGTGAAAAGCATGGAGAACAGACATCCGCTCAGTGCCTCTCACTGGAGAATGGGATTCCTTTGCTTGGCAACGAAGTCAACAGGATAGAAAGCAGAATGTTCTTTATTAACCCATTTAGCTTTTGTTTTCTTGATTTTTCCCCCAAGTACGTATGTGGGATGTTGACTATGAAAGATATGTGGGTTTTTTATTTTTATAATTGTACAAAATTAAGCAAATGTCAAATGTTTTATATACTTTATTAATGTTTTTTTTCAAAAGGTACTTTCTTATAGACATGATACTTTTTTACAGCTTCAGTTGCTTGTCTTTTGGTATTTTTGTGTTATGGGCTTTGGTGAGCCAGAGGCAAATCTATAAGCCACTTTTGTTTGCCAGGACATGCAATAAAATTTAAAAATAAATAAAAATACGTGAAGAAATTGTGTTGTGTGTGTGTGTGCATGTGTGTATCTATTTATATATCCTGCCAACCTCTGAGCTTATTTCTCTTACTGTGGAAGAGGAAGAAACACTTCAGTTGAGTCAAAAAGAGTTTGCTATTCAAGTAGGGATGAGATTGCAGAGTGTCTTAGTTTTATTTCATTTTTTTTGTCATTTACCTTTTCTATTTATTTATTTATTAAAGATTTCTGTCTCTTCCCCACCGCTGCCTCCCCTTTCCCTCCCCCTCCCCCAATCAAGTCCCCCTCCCTCGTCAGCCCAAAGAGCAATCAGGGTTCCCTGCTCTGTGGGAAGTCCAAGGACCACCCACCTCCATTCAGGTCTAGTAAGGTGAGCATCCACGAAACTGCCTAGGCTCCCACGAAACCAATAGGTACAGTANGTTTTAACCCAGGCTTTTTCAGACCCAGGTCAGCTGGCCTTGGTGAGTTCCCGATAGAACATCCCCCTTGTCTCAGTGTATGGGTGCACCCCTCGCGGTCCTGAGTTCCTTGCTCGTGCTCTCTCTCCTTCTGCTTCTGATTTGGACCTTGAGATTTCAGTCCGGTGCTCCATTGTGGGTCTTTGTCTCTCCTTTCATCGCCTGATGAAGGTTAATATTCAGGAGGAAGCCTATATGATTTTCTTTGGGTTCTCCTTCTTATTTAGCTTCTCTAAGAACCCAAATTATAGGCTCAATGTCCTTTATTTATGGCTAGAAACCAAATATGAGTGAGTACATTCCATGTTCCTCTTTTTGGGTTAACTGTTCTATTTTTGATTTTTTAATAGAAAATAGATTTTTTTTAAGGTCATGATTTCATCTCCGTCACCTCCTACCAGATCCTCCTCACCTACCCAATTCCACACCTTCTTTCCTCTCTCCCTCTCTTTAGAAAATAGCCAGGAAAAATGTAAATAATTCACACACAGAAGACTCATAAAAACACAAAATTTGAAACCATGATATATAAGCAAAAAACTATAAGGTAAAAAATAAAATAAAAGCCTAGACAAGGCATTATGAGACAAGAAACAAAAAAAAAATCTCCCAAGATACCATATCATTGATTGTATACTGAGTTTGTAGTCTATTGCTAGGTATGGGGTCTGTCATTGAGTGTGGTATATCTACCGAGTGAGAATCCATTAAAGAAAGCGAATTTTCCCTTGGAAAACGGTTGTCAATTGGAGACAGCTTCTTGGTTAGGGATGAAAGATCTCGTCCATGCTTTGACCTGTGTAGTCCCTGTGCATGCTCCCACAGTCTCCATAAGTTTATCTGTGCAGCAGTCCTGTTGTGCATAGAAATCATTGTTTCTTTGGTGTCTTCCATCACACTGCCTCTTCCCTGAGCTCAGAGAGTAGAGGTTTGATGGAAACATCCCATTTAAAATTCCGTGTTCCAAGGTTTCTCATTCTCTGCTTATTGTTCACTTGTGAGTCTCTGTATTTTTCCATCTACTGTAGGAAGAAGCTTCTCTGATGATGACTGAGCAAGACTTAAGTCCTAATTTTAACTTCATGACTGTCCCATGACGTTTATAAATAGCCTCCTCAACACTGAAGGAATACTGGGTAAATCACCTCGGTTGTGTGAGGAGACACACTGAGAATAGTGGCCTCCGAGTGCGACAGACCAGACAAAACCTTTTCACTTGGTACATAGATCACTCACCAGAATAACTTCTCTTTAAGAAAATGATCTAGTGTTATTATTAAATGGAAAACTTTGTTCTCTTGTAGACTGAAATAGAATGACACGACAATAATATCCAAAACATAGCAGGAACTTTGCAGAATAGTCAGTGTCCCTGTGAAGGGCCTAGACTATAACAACATCTGTCATGTGGATGAGCATAGCTACATTATTAAAACACAAATGTATAGTCAAGGAAGGTGACTCTTCAACCATTTAGTTTTTCTAAAATGAAGTAATAGGTTTGGTAGCATCCATATAAGGAAGAGCAAACATCAGTACGAATGACTTGGGTGTGGCGTACACCACAGAACACTGGACTGTTTTCTTTCTTCATTGAGAAATTATAGGTATGTACAAGAGAACAAAAATTTTTTTTTTACAATTGTAAAAAAAAATACTTACTAACTTAAATACTTTACTAACCTGAAGTAGATTCTGGAAGTTTGATGATCTTGTTTCTTCACATCTTGAGAAATTTTCTTTCATGGCTTGGCATTCTAGAAACTGTCTTATCCTTATCGATCAATTTAATACCCCTTCCAAAAGTCAACAATATGGTTTTTTCTTTTATTTTGAGGTGATATAATTATATCCTTTCTCCCTCCAAACCC